CATTCTCGAAGTTATGGATGTATAATAAACAATATAAAATTATTATCACAGTCATAATAAAGTGATCAACAACTTAATGTGAAAATAATAACTTAAATGTTTTTTATCCAAAATCATATATTAATAGTCAAATATATAAAAATTGATATAACAAGCTTTGCAATTATATGTAATCTATTCAATTTGGACTTCATTTCATAATTCAAATCATTAAAAGATATGTTTTTCACCCTTAAAAGCTTGTGCCAGTGAAACGGGTTAGCCCAATTTAATCTGTAGTAACCCAGGTCCATGTGAGCTCACCAAATTTTGATAGGCTTACCCACACCTAATCATATCAAAGTGGGCTCATGTGGGTACATCACACCAGATCCTAGCAACTGAGCTCATCTAAATGTTGCTGCACAAGATTTCATCCCATAGCTGGGAACAATTATTACGCAGAGGGCAAAACAGATTGAGCTTCAAACATTGTACGTAGTAGTATATAATATCAAACTACTAAAATCAAACCTACGTACATAGTTCTTTAAATAATGTATAATTTATATTTCTATATTTTACAAAACTTCAGGTTTGCAAGGGGTACTCAGTGTAAATGACTCCAGGTCAAAAAACTTGAGGTTCACTTGGACTTCAGGTCAACAAGTTTTGCTAAACTTTGGGTCTGCTTGCGAAACTTTGGGTTTGCAAAAAATACCAAATATTTGTGACACGTCATGCTTACGAAGAGTATATTAATTTATGCAAAACTTCTAGTTTGCAAAGATCATTAAATATAAATAATTTAATATTTACGATATCTCGGGCTTAGCAATTAAATTTTCTAAAATATTTTATTATAAATAAATAAATAATTATTTGTGAGACTTCAGACAAACCCAACAACCTATCAAAACTAATATCACAAACGAAATATATAGAGCTGAGATAGAGAAAAAAAAAAATAAAGTTTCTTTTTCAAGTCTCAGTTGGCTAAAGACTCGTACTGATAATCTATTATGAATATAGAGAAAATTTAGAACATAAAATTAAACCCACAATATAGAGAGAAGAATGTAAAGAGAGAGAGAATTTTATTATTTCTCTTATTCCATGAATGCTTTTATATTGTAAGATGAACAGATTTATAGCCAAATGAATTTCATGCCTAAGTGCCATACCTAATACACCACTCATGTCCACTACTTATTTAGGGCACAAATTAGTTCACCATTATATCTAATTAGTGGACATCATAATTATATATAACAGCTCAATCATTATTTTCAAACAAATATCTTTATAATTTTTTCTCTTAGGCTAGTTTGTTTGGACAAAAATTATTATTATTATTGTTATTTTTATCAGATCATATATATATATATATATATATATATATATATATATATTTTGTGTTTGACAAAAGTTTAGATTGAAATTGAAGTCGATTCTATAGGGTGGAACGTTTTGATCAATAAATTATTTTTTTTATGCTTTAATTTTTTTATTTATAAAAATTTTATGACAATTAAATATCAAAAAATATTTTATATTCAAACAAAAAAGAGTCTTGACAAATAGTGATAGAGATCAATAGACACTTTTTATTATTATTATTATTTTTTATTAACCTGGGGTGTCTGGGATGGCACGAACTCTTAGGGCCCATAAACAATCCTACTAATTCCCAAGGACCCGGAACGGCACCTCCCCACCAGGGCCAGGTAAGTCACTGCAGGGGTAGCAGAGGCTAGCCACAAAGAACACCCAACGGGACTCGAACCCTAGACTTGAATTTGCTAAGCTCCAAAATCCAGTTAGTAAACCGCTGGATCATATTTGAAATGGATGACCAATAGACAATTGGTCTACTAATTTCTCCACTTTAAGATTCTGGATCTGTCCCACATTTTTAACCACGTCTGCTGAGAACAAGAAATAGACGTGATTGTAGCCTATGTTACACTTTCTGAAGTCAACGACACTCTCTAGATGACCTGCTGCTTACCATTTAATTTCCTTCCGCATGGACTTGTTTGGTTTCTTCATTCATCTGTGCGGTGGGTGGAAGAAACTGTGGGGAATATTTAATAAAAATTATAAAATTATTATATTATTTAATAATGTGAGTTTATTATATTTTATGATAGAGGCGACTTTGTCATAAAGCTGATGCATAATTGTGAAACAAAGTTACGCGCGATGCAGAAATAGTCAGTTGATTTTATTTGTTATTAACTCCTTTAATGACCTAGATCTGATTATTAGGTCAACTTGCTCAATTTATGATTGATTAAATTATATGATCAATTTAAACATCCACAACCACAAATATATGAAAACTAAAGCAAGTTAGAGTTAGAGAGATTGCACCAAGATTTTAGCGAGGAAACCCCAATTGATAAAATATGTCAACTGTTTGCATGGGAAAAACCTCGTGGACTATGTAGTCCAAAGTAAACCAATCCACTATGTTTGAAACAAAGTATACCGAACTTTGACTCTGGCTCACACTCTATCGTTCTACACCACACCAACCGCTAATGATCCTCCTTACTACCTCTCAACCTTCTTAGAGCATTGTTCTCATCATCTCAGAGTGTAGTATATCATGAACACTTGACCTTCTTCAAATCCGCATCTGATTTTCAATCTTTGAAATTTTGAATTGAAAATTTACAACTCGATTAGACTTGTTTTGTCAACGAAATTAGCCAATTACAAAATTTATATCTCACAATCTCCCCCTTTGGTAATTTCGTGACAAAACCCTACAGACAATTCAGCATTCTACCCAAGCAGGAAAGTAAATTACAATGATTGTTAAAGGAAATAAAACGCGCGGAAATTTTCTTGAACCTCATGAAACTTCAACACATGTAACAACCTATAATCTGCACACTAACTTAAACACAACTACCCTTTAAGCTTAATCAATAAAATAAACACAAGCATAACATAGTAAAGCTAAAAATGTCTGAATGTCAATGCAGGTAATGCAATGAATAATGGTTCTCCCCCTGAAAGCAAAAAGTTCTCCCCCTTAATGCAAAAAGTTCTCCTCCTCAATACAAAAGAATCTCCCCCCCTAAATGATAAGACTCTAAACGCTTTCCCCCTTTTTGTCACAAATTAACAAGGGTCTCAAAGAAGAAAAATCCTAGAAGTAGGAAGTAACCAACCATATAAATCTTGTAAAGTGAAATTATTGAGAATGTTGACTCCACAAGATTATATGTATCAACAGAAATAACTAAGATTAATTCAATGAAGATCCACAAACTTAGTCAGTGTAGGAAAATCACCACCACGTTTCAAAAATATATGATCTGTCAATTGTTTAGATTTCAGATAATAAATTAATGATATCACATATCCTTAGAAATCAGACAATCAACATGTGCAAAAGACATATATATATAATTTTTATCTCTCTTTGTGCTCTATTTTTTCTATTTGCACATTGGCGGCTTTCACGCTTATGGGCAGCCAGCTCTTTCCTTTATTCCCATTTGTTTCGAGTCAAGGTAGCTTTCGGACAAATCCCAAAGGTAGCCTTTTCCATCTCACCTTTTTCTAAATAGCATATATTTTTCTTTCTTTTTCAAAAACTATTTCTTTCCAAGCTGTATTTTTTTTTTTTTTTTTTTTCAATTTTTTTTTTTCTTTTCACTCTTTTGGTCTAAAACACATAAAGCAAATTTAAATTCTAAGACAATGATCAATCATATCAACATTATCTTTGACCAAAACAATGACATCTCAAGTAAATGTACTATCAATGGTTCATTTACTATACAAAATAAGTAAGTAAAACAAATTTCATCAATTTATAGCCATTGTATGCTTTCCACAGATAATCTATGTGTCATGAAACTCCTTGTGTTCGATATACTTAATCAATATGGTTTGCTTAACTTCCCAATGTGATGACCTGAATTTTTTTGTCTTTTTAATTTAATTATTTTATTATCTTTTTAGTGGGTGTTTTTATTTTATAATTAGCTATATATATATATATATATATATATATATATATATTATGTATGTCTGGTGAAGAATGTGGAAAGAAGTGGGAATTAGATTTGGATTGTTAGCTATTTTATATATGTATATATATATTGTGTCAGTCGGATTAAGAGGAGCAGGAGCTGAATTGAGATGAGAGATGAAGAAAAAGGTGTAATAATTTAGTAGGTCCCACTAATGAGACTTGTTGGCTACTTTTTCTCTAGTTTTGTTCACGTGGGTTTGGAGTAGCTTTTGGTATAATAATGATGAAGATATAAATGATGGGTTCAGGCAGACCACTTTTTGACTTGGTTTTTTATTCACATGGTATTATTTTGTGGTTAGCTTTTGTGTGAGGAGTCAGTGCAATTGCCTATTTAATGTGTTGTGTTGTGAATGAAGTTGAGGCAGAGAAGATAGAAAGAAACAAAGTGAGTTAAGAGAGATGACAGTGAGTGAGTCGAGGGTATGTAGAGGTGATCTTGGAGCTCGAGGCTTTGATGATCCAGTGGAGAATTATACTTGGTTCTCTATACCTTGAATGGTATGGGGAGGTTTTGCTTCAAATGATTTTATTAAATGTTTTCATGAAATGCATATGTATTTTGTTTATACTCACCTGTATATGTTTATTTTGTGAAGCTGTTTTATTAAACCTCCATGAAATTTTTGTTATGGTTTTTCCTACTGGGACTTTTTGTCTTACCACCCTCCAGTTTCAGGTATTGAAGATGAACAGGGATTGCTAGATTCGGGCTTAGGCTGAAGAGTCGGCGTTACAGGATTTTATTTTATTTATTTGGAGAATTTTTTTTGTGTATTTGAGGAAATTGATTTTTGTATAAAAGAGGGCATTTTTTTTGTGATCCATGGTGTATTTTGATGTATCTGATTTGTATAAATTGAGGATTTTATTGGAAAATTTGGGGTCGTGACACCCAAAAACATAATCTAGACTCTCAAGATATGCATGAAAATCCTTTCTAGACTATGTCTTTACAATGCATCTAATCAAGACAACAGACACCAATAGATTTCCTAAAATGAGAAAACTTAGGAACCTCTAATGGTTTAGTGAGAATATCAGCCAAATTCTTATCAGTATGCACTTTTTCCAAAGACACGACATTTTGTTCAACAAGTTCCCTAAGAAAGTGATGTCGAATGTCAATATGCTTAGTCCTTGAATGCAAAACTGGATTATTTGAAATATTAATTGTATTAGTATTATCACAAAAGATAGAAATAGTACCTTGATTAACTCCATAATCCAGAAGTATTTGTTTCATCCAAAGCAATTGTGTGTAACAAGTGCCAGTATCAATGTATTTAGCCTCACAAGACGATAATGATATACAATTTTGCTTCTTGCTGCACCATGAAACAAGATTAGTACCAATATAGAAACAACCACCTGAAGTACTCTTTCTATCATCATTGTTACCAACCCAATCAGCATCAGTATAGCCTGCAATCTCAGAGTTAGACTCAGAAGAATAACGCAATCCACAATTCAATGTGCTATTGACATAACGAATAATACGCTTAACTGCAAGAATGTGTTGTTCTCTAGGATCAGCTTGATACTTAGCATAAACACCTACACTAAATGAAATATCTGGCCTGGTTGCTGCCAAATACAACAAGCTACCAATCATACTCCTATACAAGAAATGATTAACCTTCTTAGGATCAGAGTCTCTATCCAATTTGGATGAAGTATTCATAGGAGTTTGAATATGCTTTGAATCTTTCATACTAAACTTCTTAACTAGCTCCTTTGCATACTTTGATTGAGATATGAAAATCCCATCATCAAGTTGTTTCACTTGGAGACCTAGAAAGAAAGTCAGTTCACCAACCATGCTCATTTCAAAAGTTTTACTCATATCTTTAGAAAAAGTATGAACAAGGTTATCACGTGTAGCACCAAAAATAATATCATCCACATATATTTAAGCAATAAGAAAATCTTTTCCTTTCCTAAAAATAAACAACGTTTTATCTGCTCCTCCTCTTCTGAAACCCTTATGCAATAGATAAGAAGTCAATTTCTCATACTATGCTCTAGGTGCTTGCTTTAAATCATAAAGTGCCTTTTTAAGATGAAAAATAAAATCGATCAATAAACCTTTTTGGTTGTGCTACATAAACTTCTTCTTGCAAAATATCATTTAGAAAAGCACTTTTAACATCCATTTGAAACAATTTGAATTTAAAGTGACATGCAAAAGCAAAAAGAAGTTGAATAGACTCAAGTCTAGCAACAGTTACAAAAGTCTCATCAAAATCAATTCCTTCAACTTGAGTGTATTCTTGTGCAACTAATCTAGCTTTATTTCTCATCATAAGACTATGTTCATCAAGCTTATTTTTAAAGATCCATTTGGTCCCAATGATATTAACATCACTAGGTCGAGGCACTAATTCTCAAACATCATTCTTCACAAATAGAAGCAATTCTTCTTGCATAGCCATAAGCCTGTTAGAATTTTGAAGAGTTTCATTAACACTTTTAGGTTCAAACTGAGTTATGTGATATGAGTGAATTAAATAATCTACAATGCATGAGTGTCTTACCTCATCACGGACTGCACTCCTAGTATTATGCTTATCCCATGGACCTATCACATTGTCAATTAGATAACTCAATCTAACTCTAGAACTGCTAGATGTGGGAATATCTAGAGATGGTGCAGGAATTCCTATAGGTTCATCAATGGTAACCTCTAATTCCTCGTCTTCATCTTTTTCAACCTCTTCACCTTCTCCACCTAAATCCTTAACTCTTTTTTCTTCATGAATTGTAGGTCATTTCCTTTTTCCAGCAATTTCAAAATGAGTTTCTTCTTTATCAAGTTGAGAAGAAGTTATCTTAGATTTTGTATCATCAAATACAATATTTATAGACTTCATAACCACTTTGGTTCTGAGATTAAAAACCCTATAAGCCCGACTGGTTTGTGAATAACCTAAAAACACACTTTCATCACTTCTAGAGTCAAATTACCTAAGTGTTCATTATATCCAAAGACTCTAAAGTATTTAAAAGTGGGCTTCCTATCATACCACAATTCATATGAAGTTTTGTTAGTTCCAGGCCTAAGATAAACTCTATTTACGATGTGACAAGCAGTATGTACTGATTTAGCCCAAAAGTGACTTGCAATCTTATTCTCCTAAAGCATAGTATGAGCCATACCTGCAATTGTCCTATTTTTCTTTTTCACTACACCATTCTGTTGTGGTGTTTTAAGTGCTGAAAATTCATGCTTAATGCCATTCTTATCACAATATTCAATAAACTCCTTAGGTTCGAATTCACTTCCATTGTCGCTCCTAATTCGATTAATTCGATATCCTTTCTCATTTTGAATAAGTTGGAAAATAAACCTGAAATTCATAAAAGTATCAGATTTTTCTCTCAAATATGCAACAAAAGTAAACCTAGAAAAATCATCAACCATAACAAGCAAATATTTTTTTCCTCCAATGCTATCAGGTATTATGCGACCCATCAAATCCATATGAATCAATTCTAAAGGTCGAGTAGTGACTTTATGAATAAGTCTCTTATGTGACACTCTAGTTTGTTTTTCTAACTAACATAGACCACATATTTCATTTTTAGGCATTTTCAATTTAGGTAATTTCGAACAAGATCATTGTTAGACAAATTCACTAAATCATTATAATTCATATGTTCAAATCTTTAATACCATAAAACAGCCTCATTAGTAACTGCATAAAAACACATAAGTGAAGGATCTGAAAACACAATATAGCAATTATCATAAATTCTAGTTCCAAGATGTATTCACCTTTTTCATTAGTTACAAGACGCCTTTATTGAGTAAAATTGACTTGAAACTCCTCATAATATATTTGACTAATACTCAACAGATTAACAGCTAATTAACCTTTAACATATAGAACATTTTTTAACTTCCCAATTCCTGAAAATTTGATCTTACCTTTACCACTTATAATAGAAGCTTTACCATCACCAAAAGTAACAGTACCAACTGAGCATTCCTTAAAAGTGGTAAACAATGTTCTATCTCTTGTCATATGCCTAGAGCAACTACTATCAAAATACCAACCACATGGACCAAGTGCTCTAAGTGCAGTGTGCATGGCAAGACACTTAAAATTCTCTTTTTTTTTTTTTTATCCAAACAATTTTAAATTCATTATGCAATGATTTCCCTATTGTTCTAAGCAAAGTGTTACAAGGCTCAACAATCATAATCTTCTTCTTCCTTAAATTTGAACTCTCTAGATTTTTCAATTTCTTTCCTAATTCAATTTTTCTTTTCTGACTTTTATACTTGATATGCCCTTTTTCACCACAAAAATGACATGTTGAAATAAGTTTAGGAGAATTAGAAATAACACAAGACTTGGTTTCAACTTTCACAAAAACATTTTTAGATTTTTGTAAATCCTTTGAAGTTGAAGCCAAATCTTTGTTACTACAAGTATTCTCAACTACTCCTTTCAACATATCAATTTTGTAAGTGTTACTATCAACTTTCTGAAAAGACTGTTTTGATTTAACAAATTCAATACTCAAATTATTAATTTTAAGTTCCAGTGATTTATTAAACAAATTTATCTTCTTAAGTCCTTTTCCAGAAAATCAATTTTATGTAGAAGATTCAAATTCTTATAGCCAATTTCTTCCAAATTTTTATTAGAGACAGAAACTTCTAACTTATAAATATCTCTATCAAGTTCCGCAAGATTTAATTTCTTTAACAAATTTTCAAAATTCTTTTTAAACTTGGACTTCTCAATTTGCATGCTTGTGATAGACTCAAAAACAGGAGTTAAAGGCAACACATCAACAGATGAATTTTCAGACATGATGCAAAAATCAATAATAAATCAACAAATATGATCAATTCTATATATCGAGTAAGCCGCTCTGATACCAAATTGTGAAACAAAGTTACGTGGGGTGCGGAAATATTCAATTGATTTTAATTGTGATTAACTCATTTAATGACCTAGATATGATTATTAGGTTAACTTGCTCAATTTATGATTGATTAAATTATATGATCAATTTAAACATCCACAATCACAAATATATGAAAAGTAAAATAAGTTAGAGTTAGAGAGATTGCACCAGGATTTTAGCGAGGAAACTCTAGTTGATAAAATACGTCAACTTTTTGCATGAGAAAAACCTCGTGGACTATGCAGTCCAAAGTAAACCAATCCATTATATTTGAAACAAAGTATACCGAATTTTGACTCTGGTTCACACCCTATCGTTCTACACCACACCAACCGCTAACGATCCTCTGGCTTTGCGACTCCCTGTCCAACAGCAACTTGATCTCAAACTTATACTTGATATTTGTAGAAGAGTAGCAGGTAGATCAGACAGCACTCCACGAATGCTCCAACCCTTCCAAAGTGTGACTGCGTTTACTTCTGTTCTTCAATATCTGAACTTGATTGTAGAAGAATTAAATTCTGTTGATCATCCGGAATATCTGAATCTTCAATACAGCTCCAATTTCGATGAGATAGAGAACAACACAGCTAAATCACTCATGAATATATATTTGTACTTTCAAAAATAAATTCAGAATAATCAGATTTGATTTTCTGAGTTTTTCTCTCTCAAAAAGGCTTTCTCAAAATATAGATTGATTTTCCCTAAAGTCGTGAATAAACCAATATATATGATATGGTTTATATAGAGTTTTGAAAGTTCTAATCCCTCATAAAATATGATAAATTTCGTGCATAGGAGTTAGAAGAAAGTTGGAATCAGAAAGGAAACTTCCAGCAAAAAGGAAACTAAAATCCAAGTGCTGCCAGGAGACCTTGAACCGGTTTAAGATGGCCAGTAAAGAATCCCACGAATTCTTGAACCAGTTCAGCCCTCTTGAATCGGTTCAAGATGGCTAGTCTTGAAATTTTGCAATTCTGATAATGTTGAACCTGTTCGATAAATCTTAAACCAGTTTAAGATGGACAGAACGATGAATATTGTTTTCGAACCTTCCAAAACCCTTCCTAAATGTTCTTACTACCACTCAACCTTCTTAGAGCATTGTTCTCATCATCTCGGAGTGTGGTATATCATAAACACTTGACCTTCTTCAAATCCGCCTCCGATCTTCAATCTTCGAAATTTTGAATTGAAAATTTACAACTCGATCGGACTTGTTTTGTCAACGAAATTAGCCAATTACAAAATTTATATCTCACACTATTGTCTTTCTGTGAACTTATACATAAAAGATCATTAATGAATATGTGTTGTATCTTGAACTTCTAATGGTTGCACTTACACGTAGGGAGATCATACGACTTTAAAACAATATTTGCACGCCTCTCATTATTTAAGTCCGTTCTTTACTATATATTGTATTATTGTTTTCTTTTTTTTTTTCAATTAATTTCCATTATCAAATAATATAATATAATTGTGTTCATTTGTATTGTTGAATTTTATGAATTACATTTTGTTGCACAATGCCCCAATGCCTATATCATTTTTCATTAAATGACTATAATGACATTTCTTATTGAATCGTACTTAATCTATTTTTCTTATTGAAATAAATTACAAAAAAACAAACCATAATAATTTGACGATATATTCTCCATAAAATTTGCATAACCTTACATTTAATTTTTGAAATTAATTGCTTAAATTAAAATATTAAGTATAAAATTTTAAAATAATTTAAGTAGTTTCTTAATTTTTCATGAATATATTGCATAAAAAAGAACGTATTTTTTTTATTTAAGTAATATATTAATTTTTTATGAATATATTGTATGAAAAAGAATATACATTTTTAGAGTAAAAAAGTTTAAACGGGGTATAGTAAGTTTTATTATAAATAATAAAGTTTTAATAATAAGTTAATTATTTTAGAAAATGATACTTACAAATCTATTTAAATTTTTTTTTTTCATTTTAATGATAACTTGATAGTAATAATAATAAAATTAAGGTAAAATAAAATAATTAATATTTAGATAAGAAAAAAAACTAATTTAATAATAAATGATAAATTTAATGAAAAATGGAATTGTCCTTAATTGTAATAAATTAATAGTTGAGATAATATGTGATTCAAAGATGTTATTTGTAAAAATGTAGTAATTCAAAGGGGTTTTTTTTTGCATTTTATCCCATTATTATTATTATTATTGGCACAACATATACAGATTTCAATATTGATGTTACCAGAAGCTGTTATGCTTTGATGCTCCATTTCTTCATTAAAAAAGAAATTGTTCATTGACTCGATGTCAACGCTCTTTCTTTTATTGGATTTATGCGTATAATGCGCTCTCTATATTAGACTATCACTCACATTCTCTCTCTCTCTCACACACACACACAAATTAATTTCTTCTCTCATACTTGACATTGTGTCTGAACTCCTCGATCTCATATCCAGAGGTATTAGTCTCTCTCTCTGAGTAAACTATATTTCTAGACTTGGAGGTTATCAAGTTGAAGAAGATTGCCCAGTCTTCTTTTTCTCACCATAATTTTCAGTAAGTCTTCCTTTTATAGACTCACAAAAAAAGGATTTATTTAATTTATTTTTTCTCGTGATTGCTTTAGATCACTGAGAATTTACTTCCATTGCTTTTTTCTTTTCTTTTCTTTTTTTAGAATCTCCTCCCGCAGAAGGTGGAGTTGATAATAAGCTGATTGAAAAATGGTAACTTTTACGAGGATTAAAGGTAATTGAGTTGTCTCAATCATATTCATATATATATATATATATATATATATATATATATATATGTTGGTATTGGTTACACTGGATTAAACCATTATACTATCCACCGCCCAAGAGAACTAAGGAAAAAGGAAAGAAATTATAGTAGAGTTTTGCACTGTGTTTGAAAAATTAAATTCAGTTAAAACAAAACAATTCATTAAGTGATTTCAGTTTAGTTTCCAATTATTCAGAGTCCAACTTTGGAGCTTGATTGTCTGCTGAAATACCACAGGGTGTGTTCGGCTGCATAGAATTTGTGGAATTTCAAAAAAATTTAGTTAAATTTTTTTAATTGTTTTTCTTAAATTTCATAAATTCCAATTCCAAGGCTCTAATTTTATGCAGCGGAAAGCATCTTCAATCAATTTAGTCCCTTAGGTGGAAAACATTGTTGTGTGCGTTCCTCACACTTAGGTCGTCTTCATTGGATAGTGAAACTTCTTCAATCCAATATACATATGGTACTTTTCCTTTGAATCATTTGGCTAACATTCACGGACTCATACATTCATACTTTTGGTAGAACTCACCTCTTGTCTCTCTCACTGTGAGCAAATCATATAATGAAGAAAAGATTAAGGGGCTTTTTCTTATTACTAGTCCGCTGTGAAGCTAGTGGTTATGTGTTCTATTGAAAATTGCTAATCACTCCCTTGGTTGTCTGAGTGAATTGGTACTCACACACACATGCCTCCTCCACTGAGACTCGAACCCCTGACCTCTCTTTGAGAAGTAGGGGTTTGGTACCATTAGGTTGTTGGTTAGTTTGAGTGAATTAACCGGACTAGTTTAAAAATAATTCTTATGCAATTTAAATGTTTAAGTAAATCCATGGCAGGCCATATCGCGACTCTTTTTTAAGTCCGTACGCCATTCCCATTGATTAGTTTATACTGACTTTGTCGAGTCCGTTACACTGCGATCGTAATTCATACTATGAATCATGAGTATATCTAAATCTACCTAACAATCCCCATTCAGGGAAAAAAAAAAATTGCTAGCCAGTTGATTTCGGAGAGTTTAACCACTCTTTATATCACAACTCTTATTTTACTGCAGTTTGATTCATTGTTTCCTTTCATTGGCAGCTCTGATGTGGGCTGACATGTTAGCAGAGTATGTTATGTGGTTGATGATGACATACTTAACAAATGTTTGGAAGCTTAATTTCACGCATGCTGCTGCTGCCATTATAAACATTTGGGCAGGTGTAGCGTTCATAATGCCAATAGGCTTTGCCTACCTTGTAGACACCTTCGTGGGTGATTATGCAATGCTTGTTGGTGTCCAGTATTTCCTACAGCATTGTAAGTAATTACTCTTTGAAGATTCGATCTCCTGATTTTTCTTTTTGTTCAGAACTCATTTTTGGTTGCTGATGAAGTTTGCAGAATATTAAGGAAATACTAACACTTTACCCAAAAGAAATGAACTTGATTATATATATATATATATATGCAGGGGTTAGGCTTCTTGGCTATGTCTACGCCACCAGTTCTTTCTAAATCCACAGGTACCTGCAGTGCATACAAGCCAGAATGCATCGGTCTCGCACAAAAAATCCTCTATTACACTGCTTTAGCTTTGATAGCCGTGGGGATATCTGGTCACGCTGTCTCTTTGAATTCATTCTACACTGATCACATTACAGACTATAGAGTGTCACTTGGCATCTCTGCTGTGCTCATCATCCCTATAATTGGAGATGTTGTACTTCCAATTATAAATCCATGGTCAATCCTGTTTGGACTTCCGGCTATATGCACGGTGGTGGCAACACTTTTATTCTCGACTGGCTCGTGTTCATACATGATTAAATTGCCACAAGGGAATCCTCTCACAACTGTGTTCAGAGTTTTTGTGGCTTCTGCTTCCAAGATATGGCACCAATGCCCACAAAATGCTAGTGAACTCAATGAGTATTCTTCCATTAATCGATCAGTTATCCCTCACAGTAATGGCCTCAGGTTTTGACTCTCACACTCTCTCTTCAATATCAGATTCCCCAATAGTTTTCTTTCTCTCTCACATTTTGATCTATATTGAAAGAATTGAATCCTTTAATTACACCCCCCCAACAATTATATCTTTATCATACCAGCACTACCATGCTTTAATTGCTTTAGAGTACAGTAAAACAATAAAAGTACCCAATTAGTTATTTCTCTTAAATGATAATGTTCTGTTATTGAGATCGAAAACAAGAAGAATTGATACACGCACAACCTACAATTGTAGGTCTTCAGTTTCAGTTTCAAATTCACTATTGCAACATTAATGTTGAATGCAGGTTCCTATACAAGGCTGCAATTGTATTGCCAACCCTAAGTAGAGAAGAACAAGAGAAAAATAGATGGAGACTTTGTAGTGTTACAGAGGTTGAAGAAACCAAAATTGTTATTCGCATGGTCCCAGTCTGCATGAGCACCATTTTTTTTGGGGTGGTAATATCTATTGGAAAAACTTACTTTATTGTGCAAGCAAGCCACATGAACCGCAAGTTGGGACACAGCACCGTCCCTCTTCCACTATTTCTAATGTTTAATGTCCTAATAAACTATGACTTTGCAAAAAATACACTTACTGCATTATATTTCAAAATACAGAACTATTTTTTAGGTTCGGGATCAAAACGATATGGTCCCCCAACTGGAATTGGCGTAGCAATGGTATTTTCAGTACTATGTTGTATCACTGCTGCAAAAGTGGAAACTCAAAGGCACAATGCAATTAGGAGCCATGGTTTACTTGACAAGCCAGACGAGAAAATCCCAATGAGCATATTTTGGTTGCTTCCACAATTTCTCCTTCTTGGCATGGTTGATGGAATATCTGAAAGAAGCATTGATAAATTCATTGTGACTCCATGGGACGCTGTCTAAATTTTTTTACCAATGGGTTATTTGGTCTAGGAACCATGGCTAGTGTGCTTTCGGTACGGATGGTGGGGAAGGTTAGTGAGAAGGGAGGGAAGCAAAATTGGTTCCAGGACACCTTAAACAGGAGTCGTTTGGATAACTATTATTGGACACTGGCAGTTTCAAGTAGTGTCATTCTTGTGCTGTATATATTGGTGGCACTGTGCTACCCGTATAGAATCACCATCGATTCAGATGATGAGGAAGCGCTACGGAATGAAGATTCTGCTCAACCACCCGCCCTATGAGGATAACCCACAATGTTGCTGCTGTTGTGGCTAGATGCGGATATGCTGTATGATTTAGTAGCGTTCATTTATGTTGTATTCTGCAATTCAACTTCTTGTGCATAATGTCTCTTAAAAACACATAAAAATCAGTTGTTTCTCCCTGTAAATCCTGTAAAAGTGATGTGCTCCCAGGGGTGGAGCCAGCATAGGCCCGGGGGCTATGCCCCTTGGGCCCATGCTAGCCCATTAGTTTTAATTATAAAATGGCCTATGATTTATAAAGTTTTCAAAATGCCCCCCTAAAATAAATTTTTTCTAGAAAATGACCATTAATTTTTGTTACACATAAAGGCCAATAATTTATAAAAAAAAGTGAAAAATGCCCCCTGAAATAATTATTTACCCTTGGGCCAATTAATTTTTATTGCAAATAGGCTTATAATTTATAAAATTTTACAAAAATGGCCACTAAAATAATTATTTTTTAAAAATATCTTTAATTTTTTCTTTCTTTTCATTCTTACTCCTCTTCCTCTTCTTCTTCTATTTCTTCTTTTTTATATTCTTTTAAAAAAAAAGTTACATTCCTTTATTCAAACTATTTTTTTTTTCCTTTTCAAAGTTTTGTAATTAAATTTGTTACTAAGGTTGGTATTTTATGTTTCTATTTTTTTAAAATAATTATTTTTCAAATTATTAAATGCTATTATTCCCCCACAGCTTTATTTTTTGACTTATTGTCTTGCATCACTATTCGCTTGAAAAAAATATACCAAACACATTTAGTATGAATATTGAAGAATTTACAATGGTATAAACAACCATAATTAATTTGCTCTTCACATACCCAGCAGGCAATGTATCCCAGAGATTTTATGGAAGTTGATTGAGTGGAGAGGGTGAAAAGGTATTCTGGGTGCAAGTAATGATGTTTGATCTCTACTGGCAATTTGAAACATGATTTGTGCAGCAATATTCTGCACTCAAGACAAACATAAATTATCATCGAATTCTCAAAAGTTTGCATGCAAACAGAGCAAGACTGGTTAAATTTGTTCTTCATATCACAAATAATTAATGGATGGTTTTGGCCAAGATGTTGAAAATTATGATGCTCGTGATCTTCAGAGTTTGTGGCGAGTGTTAGGGAAGCGCATACAATGTCCAGCTCAAATGGACATTCAAAACAGCTGAAGAAGAAGCGCATTTCATGGTGGCCACAAGCATGGCACTTGTTGTCATCGGCGTTCGATCTTGAAAAGAACTCTATGCCCTTGAAAAGAGGTTGAGAGTGTGTTGTGAGTGGAAGGGGTGTTTGATCTCTAGTGGGAATTCGGAGCAGGATTTGTGCAGCAAGAGTTTGCATTCAAGTCACACGTAGATCGAATCCTCAAAAAGTAGCTTGCAAGCAGAACATGAACGATCAAAAGTCTTACTCATATCGCAGACCATCAAAGGATGGATTCGAATCTGGTGCACAGGACTTGCACTTAAAACGTCAATTCTTGTACGTTTGATCAAAGATTTGTGCATCAAGAGTTTGCTGGAACGTGTTTGGATTAAGGTTTGTGTTGGTCTAATACAATTGATCTTTTGTTCATGACCACGACCTTCATGGTCTCCTTTGGGTGTCAACCAAGCGCAAACGGCATCAAGTTGAAATTCACAATCACGAGTAGAACAACACAAGAAGAAGCCCTCGCTGTAGCTGCCACAGGCATGGCACTCCGTGCCACGTGTTTTTGACATGAGTGCGTTTTGGGGGTGAAGCGGGTGTATTATGGCTTATGGTAGTTCAGCACACGAAGAGTCGATGAAAAACCTGCACTTCTCGGAGGAGCAACGGTAGGCAGGACCGGAGATGCGTCTCATACAACCACGACAACTACCAGAACATGCAAGATCTATACATGGAGTCAAGGGATGTTCGTGGCTGAAATGTTTAATTTCTCCCATCTCGATCTTTCTTCACAATGCTTGAATGATTGAGGAAGGGATCCATATATGACGTGTATGTGTGTGGTCACACACACATGAACTTTAAAGTCATGAACATGGAGATGTTATGCGTTTAATTCTTTCCATGGTGCTTGTTTGCTGAAAAACCGTACTATACAAGTTGAGTGAGAGTCCATGTGCAAGGATATAATATTTTTTTATAAGAAAGTTGCGGACTAAGATCACCTCCAGTTGCATAGTGAAACCATTTGCTCCATTTGAAATAAGTGACTGAGAATGTGCCACATCAATTAAAAAAATTGGGTAATTAATTTTTTACCACCCATTTAAATAATATATTTCATATATATATAAACTTTAAATATTATTTCTAAAATACATTTTCTCTCTCTAAAAGCTACGACCATCTTCCTTTCTCTTTCTCTCTAAAAAGGAAGAAAGAAATAGTACCAATGGTGGTCTGAAGTGAAGAACGATGGTGAGGCGAAGAAGGAGTGAAGAACGGTGGTCTGAGGCGAAGAAGAAGAAGTGAAGATCAAAGGTCTGAAGCGAAGAAAAATAAGGGAAGAAGGAAGGATTGAGGCAAAGAAAAAGGAAAGAAGGAAGGTCTGAGGGTTAGGGTTTGAATTTCGAATAAACGAAGATGAAGAAAAAGGAAAGAAGGAAGGTCTGAGGGTTAGGGTTTGAATTTCGAATAAACGAAGATGAAGAAAAAGGGAAGGGAAAACGAAGAAGAAGGGAAGAAGGTTTGAAGCTAGGTTGGAAAAGTTGGGATAAGTTGGGATAAGTTGGGATGCACCTTCGGAAAATGTTGGGATTCATCATAGGAAAATGTTAGGATGCACCAGAACGGCGGTGAGGCGAAGAAAAAGAAGTGAAGAACGGCGGTCTAAGGCGACGAAGAAGAAGGAAATAGTACCATTTTAAATGGTACACCACCTTAGGAAAATGTTGGGATTCACATTAGGAAAATGTTGCGATTCACCTTAAGAAATTGTTGGAATGCACTTTACAAATAAGCTGGGATGTTTGTACGAAAATATTGGGATGTACTTTAGGAAAATGTTGTGATGCACCACTTTACAAATACTTTAGGATATATGTTACGAAAATGTTGGGAAATTGTTGTGCTGCAGTTGGGAAATTGTTGTGCTGTAGCAAATAAGGATAATTTGGGATACAGGTATAATTTTCAGATTTTATTTTCAAGGAAATCCTCTTATTTCTAAAAGAATGGCAGAAATAAAGAAATCGTACCTCTTGCTTCGATTTGGAGAAGTCTGATCTGATCTTCAATTTGGAAATAGAATGGCTTATTCTATCTCGAAATAAAGCCTGCTTCCTGTTTCTATTTGGAAAGAAATCAAAATCTATTTGGAAAGAAATCAAAACCTAAATTGGGTTGATTGATATTTTGGGAGAGAAGAAGAGTAGTTGGGCATTTGGAAATAGAATTGCTTATTCTATCTCGAAATAAAGCTTGCTTCTTGTTTCTATTTGGAAAGAAATCAAAATCTATTTGGAAAGAAATCAAATCCTAAATTGGGTTGATTGATATTTTGGGAGAGAAGAAGAGTAGCTGGGTGGTGGGATTTCAATCAAAATCTATTTGGAAAGAAATCAAATTCTAAACTGGGTTGATTGATATTTTGGGAGAGAAGAAGGGCTGAGTGGCGGGATTTCAATTTTATTTCAAATGGATTGCTGAAATGAAGGAGGGAGGGAAGAAGAAATAAGGGAGGAAAAAAGAGTATACTTGAACAGTGTATATATATATATATATATATATATATATATATATATATATATATAAATTATGTATAAAGCAAATATAATTTTTTACCCACTATGGTAAGTACTATTCATTCACAAAAATGGAGCAAATGTTTACACTATTTCACTGGAGGTGATTTTCACCCAGAAAGTTACTTTAGTTGGTAAGCTAATATTGTGGAGCATTGAATTCCAATTTGTCAGAAGAAGGTGGTCCACAAAACTACACTATACATTGGAGTACAGAACCCAAAAAATTTATGCAGATGAATTCACCTCTTGTGTGAAATGATATGGTAATGTCAATTTATACTTTGTTAAATCATCTCCAATGGAAAATGTCATTTTTATATGTTAAATTTATATTTTGAGAGAAATTATAATGTCAAAATGCTATATTTTAGTAATTCTGATTCAATGGTACATTTCATCCAAAATACTATTTTTTGACCTAACTATCAATTTTCAACAATCACACACACACACACACACACACACATACACGCGCGCGCGCACACACACACACACACACACACACACATATATATATATATATATATTTTGAGTGTTTGTATTTTATTTAGCTTATTTGCCTTATTAAAAATAAATAAATAAATAAATAATCATCAAATCCAACTGAGTCTTGAAATTTAGACAACTTTTGGATTAACAGACATATATATATATATATATATATATATATAAATATATATAAAAACATAGACATATATACACACACATATATACTAACACTGACATATATATATAGACACACACACACACACACACACACAAGCACAACACCAAACTACAAAATCTACAAGAATCAGAAGTTCAAAACCCATATATTTTAGTTTGGTAGAAGTAATAGCAATAGTTATAGTTTGTGCTATATTTGGCACAAGATTTGACAAAATTATATTTTGGTAGCCCATTGGAGAGCCCATGTTAAATCCACCAGCTATATTTTGAGATTGGCAGCTCACTAGAGTTGCTCTTATA